TTCTCTTTATTTATATACTTATATACTTATATACTTATATATCTATATATCTATATATCTATTATATATGCATCTTCCCTTATTCTTTTTTTTAGTACTTCTATGATGTTAAATGGTCTCGTGGCGCAGTGGAAACGCGTCTGCCTCCTAAGCAGAAGATCGTGGGTTCGATCCCCACCGGGATCGCTATATTCTATATTCCTTTTTATACTATTATACTATATATATTATTATTCTTATTATTATTTGTGTTCTTCTATATTCTTATTTATCTTTATTATATATCCTTTCTTCTTATACCCATATATATGTTATATTATATATCATCTTTTATTATCCCCTTATATCTATTATTATTATATCTATATATGTTTTATGTATCCTTCTTATTTTTATACTACTTTTTACCTTATACATCTTTATATCTCTCTATATTATTATATGACTATATGTTTATATCACTATATGACTATATGACTACTTTATTATATTATTATATGACTATATGACTACTTTATTATATTATTATATGACTATATGACTATATCTTTATATTCTTTCTATGACTATATCCCTTATACTACTTTTATATCCCTTATACTACTTTTATATCCCTTATACTACTTTTATATCCCTTATACTACTTTTATATCCCTTATACTACTTTTATATCCTTGGAAGGCCTCTTAGCATAGATGGCAGTGCGTTCCCCTAGTAAGGGAAAGGTCGTGGGTTCGATTCCCGCAGAGGCCTTGCCCTTTTTATCATGAGTGTGTATGTATATATGTATATATGTATATAAGTATATTTCTACCTTATATATCTATATATCTATATATCTATATCCTTATACCTTACTATATGTGTATGACTTCCTTATTCTATATCACTATCTACTTCTCTTTATTTATATACTTATATACTTATATACTTATATATCTATATATCTATATATCTATTATATATGCATCTTCCTTATTCTTTTTTTAGTACTTCTATGATGTTA